TTAGAGAAAAAATGCAAAATTAGACATACCCTCAGGTAAAAGATACACACAGCTTCCCAGCATGAGCAATATTTATCACAGCTGATCATTTCGGCACTAAGTAACGCCACACAAAACATTGTACAAACCCTACTAAGCAAATTCAGTAGCAGTAACGAGGAGGGGAGAACATGAAGCTTAATGATCGCCAACAGTTACATTTCCCATGTGCTGATGTGCTTTGAAGTTATTTCTTCCACTGCCTGCCTATAAAATATACATCTTCTTAGCTAGAAACAGTGCAGGGTATGAGGAACAGATATTTACTATATGCCTTATTCTATTGTGACATTTGCAGAAGAGAAGTAGAATTCAAGATTTTTTCCCTTTCAGTAGTCACCACTACCTGGTTTTCCTTACAAGCAGCTTGTGACTTAGCTCTAGTTGGGCTGTGCACTCCTGCTTGAGAGATGCAACCCACCATGGAGTATTGTTCATCTCTTGTTCATCTCACTTGTTACAGTCTTCCCTGATTGACTTCCACTTAAGGGCTCAAGGGCATATGCCACCCCAAAGCATGCAGAGGATGTCACTACCCATAAGCAGGTTTGGGGTGGGGGAGAGATACTGTGCACTGCAGTTGGTATGCTCTGGAGAGTATTGTGTCCSCTCTCAAAAGGAAATGGTCTCCATGGGAGAATTCATGAAGGAAAAAGGGGAAAAAAAAAGAAGATAAAGAGAGTTTCTTTATCTTTCTTCTACTTATCAGGATATACTTTTCTATTTCTCAACATTCTGTATGCTGTGGTGTGCATCAAAATGGTGGCTCTATCTGCAAACATTTTGCATCTTCAGACTTTCTCATGACTTCAATAGAAGTTTTYGAATGTCTCGTATACCTTTTTGTATAGCTACTCTCAGAAGTGAAACATGATGTTTTCATTTTGTTTCAACAGCTTTGCTGACTTCTGTGCTTGAAGAACTTTACATCCATCTACATCTCAGTAAATCCATGGAGGATGGCTCTTTTTAAGTCTACCACCAAAGGACAAGKGCAGCAGGGGCAGAACCATCTTCTCATTTTGTGTGCAGACTASCTAGAGTTTGAGTTAGCAAGCCTGGAATGGCCTATTTCTCAGTTTGTTTCTCTGGAAAGGTTACTAATGTGGTCTATGGGATCTAAGTCCAGCCTAGATAGGCCTGAGTGATAAAGGAGACACAGTACAGGCCAGGTAGTGTTAATCTACCTGCTCTCGTACTGCCTGTGCAACTACAGTTGGTCAGGGAATGCTGCTGCCTGTCAGTGCCTACTGTGGTCCTAATTTCATGCATGGAGAACAAAATGGTCAGTAAGTCAACAACTGAGATTACTGACGTGAGATGGACTGRGGTCATGGAGACTGGTCCCGACGGCCGAAATGCACTGGTCAATCACGCTTTGGTGCTTCCAAGCATATTTGATAAACAAACTCAGAAAAAGAGGAAAAAAAATACATTCAACACAAGAATAGTTCATCAGAATGGATAATCCTGGGTATTCATGCAATTACAGCAGCAGATCTTTGAAAGTCTTCTCCTGTTGTCAGACTATTCAGTTGGAAGAGCCATGAGGAATTTTGCATCATTAGCATCAGCCCTGAAAAACAGCTTGACATAAACCAGGAAACACGGGGAGCAGCATAACACCAAGATGCCATTATTAATTGCCTGCATTTATCTAGCATGTCACTTCCCAGAATAAGTGGTTTGAGGGGGCCTGAAAACAAACATCTATTGGATGCTGAATGCTCCAAACACCRGTTCTGTTTCCTAAGTACTGAAGGTCCTGGGCAGAGGATGGGATATTCTCCCATCCTCTCTTTGTAGGATGGAAGTCCCTAAGAAAAAGGGTCAATTAATGCAGTATTTTTTATCAGGAGGAATTTGAAGAAAGTTGCACTTAAGCACATGACCCTGGATTCCAGGACCTTCTCCTTCTGAGAGATTAAAAAGGAATACAAAAGAAAGGAAGTGTATTGGAATGACTGAGAATAGAGGAAAACGAGGGTGAGGGGAGCCCTTGCTGAGATGGGATCATGTTTGGCTGCTGTAATTTAGGCATCAATTAACTCCAATTGGCTGTGTGACAAAGTTTGGCTATTGGCACTTTGCAAAAGGAGAACAGCAGAAACTGCTGTTCTGATCAAAAATGCTCAGCAAACTTGAGAGAATAAAACCTTGGGTAGATGGTAACAAAATTACAATACCCCAATCTGATGAAAAATACTACTGAGAAACTGGTTGATCCTACGCTCTTTTAAACTTTGAACAGTCTCTAGGCTAAATCTTAAATTTCTTGCTCTGGCTTTCATGAATGATAAAAAAGACTGAATATCTGAGTGGGAGTTGCAGGATTTAGCTTTTGATTACTGAGCTAACTACATCAAATACCTATYTATGAAGTGTAAACTTCCCCTGAAGGCAAACAAGCCCAGATGAAGAAAACAGGGAACAAGGTTGTGTGAAAGTCGAGGCAATATTGAGCTAAAATCCAGGAACTAACCACCCTCACAAATTTTAGTTCAAAACAGGACACATCAAAATTTCACAATGAATCTTCTTGCTCTTAAAAAAAAAACCCACTATTTTTACTGAGATTATATCTATTTGATTGAAATTACAACTGGGAAATATATTAAAATATTTAAGCATTTCTAAAAGATTGTGAAAGTTTTTATTTTTAAACTTTTTTTTTTCAGTATCAAACTAGATTTTAAATTCCAGCTGGAAAATTTGACTTGTTCTAGTTAAACCAGTGCTAAATTGAGTCAATAAGAATTTGTAATTCCCTCCTTGTGCAAAGGTGTTGGTGGCTCAATAGAGAAACATTCCAGATCATATTTTACTAGAGGAGAGGAGTGAATGAAAAAAAAAAGTGTCAGGCAATTCTGTATAAAGAAAGTGCTTTACTCTATAATGAGGAGAAAATGACCTTCTGAAGTTAAGGGAGAAGCTGAAGCAACCAGTAATTGAAATGTCATAAGAGGAACTGAGCTGGTAAGAAAAAAGCAAATATTTAAAGATGAGAAATATTTAACAAGTCACTGGATTAATTTCTCTGCCAAGTTCATCATAAGCAAATATATTTCTGTTTCAGTTCATGTCATGGCCAGGTAGAATCTGAATAACCCTATGGGTATAAAATACCTTGGGAGACCCTTTAGCCCAGATGAACAGGAAAGTTTTAATGCAGATGTTTTGTCAGCAAATTTTTTTTTTTTTTTTTTTGAAGGGAGGTAGATCTAGCATGATTTTGAAGTCAAATAATTTCATTTTATGCTAAGAAAGTTGTAACTGCTTTACAATAGTCTGCATATTCTTCCATCTTTCACTGCTTGCCATAATGGAGCTGATTTTAGCAGAAACCGTCTTTTTTTTTTTTCAATGAAACTCAGTACTAAGTATGAGATATTCCTGTCACTTGGCATAAACATGATTTATGTCCCTTCAGGGAGCTGTTCTGAGTTTTGTTCTTCTACCTCACTGGTTTCTTGCTATGTCTCCTCTATGGAAATATCTCCGCAATTTAGCCAACAATCACAAATTAAGATTAAATTGAAATTTCAAGGCAATTCTTTCTTCACATTCAGCCTAATTACATGGGCTTAGCAAATCGTGTACTTTTTCATGTTTTCACTCTACTATTTCAAGCTGTGACTTTCCTCAAATTATGAACAGCCTAGGTTTCAAAAGGTTTCAAAAGGTCTTACGGGATACAATTAAAAAAAAAAAAAAAGCTGGAAATAGCTCTCCAGAGAGAGTCTAAATGATTCTTTGAAATAATTAAGAATTCCTATTCCTAATTCTTCCTCACAACACAGTAGAATGAAGCTGCTCACTGGGAAGTGGCCAGTGCCCCAGGTAGACAGACTCTTGCACAACAGCCAGTGTCACTCTCCCCATTCTCTGGAAAACACAAGGAACTCCTCCAAGAGGAATCAGGGCTCACTCTTCATGACATGAGAGTCACAGTCCTCCTTACTGACCCAACCACGTCATGGAAACTCATGTGGGATTGCTGCACTTTGGCAGATGTCACAATCTGCATCAGCTTTTCTTTGTTGTAGGGGTGAGTGGGACCTTAATTATTATAATTGTTCCTATTTTTGCTAATATCTGCAAGGATCATCTTCATCCCATGTACCTTTTTTACTGGAAGGGCTCGTGGACTTAATAGCTATGTTAAACAGTGCAAAACATTAGCCAAATATTTCAGTTCAGTATTAATTTAATATTTTTCTCAGTATTAATTTAATATTTTTCTGTACTATTCTTAAGAAGAAACAGAGACAATAATCAGGTTATTTAACATAGCAGCGCATACACACTCCTAATGATACTAATGACAATGTCTGTTCCATCATGTTATGTAAAAGACTGTCTGAAAATGTTAATGGTAGCCTATGATTTAATTGAAACACAACTGAATTGGCTAAATTTACAATTTAAGCAGTAGGTCACCTCTATGTACACCCTCTATTTGGACAGTTCCATATTTTTGGTATAGTGGTAAAAGCAATGTACTGAGGGAACTTACAAAAGGAAGTTTTAGTTGGTCCTTTTTTTTGAGCTTTCAACACATGCAACTATAGTGATTGGAAGGTGAAAAAAAGAAACAATTTGAATACTTCAGTTCTGCAGCAAACAACTGCATCAACAAGGTCACCGTGCTGAACTGACACCATCCACAACAAATCCATCTTCTAAAAATCCACCCRTCTACGCATGGTGATGCCTGTAAGAGCCTCAGACAGAACCAAACTCTTTGGTATTTYTTTCCCCTCTTGCCTGTCTAGTAAGTAATTTATTTTTTTAATTAAGAATTCAGTAAGTTTTAATTTAAATGAGGAAAAAAGCCTTGAGTGTTACGCTTTGTTTGTGGTAACATGGCTGGCTGTATGAAATGCCATTTCTTTCTCTGCTATATACCTAATTGTATTTCCAAAGGTAGCTCTCATTGAATCAGATAACTAGCAATTTCTTTTGTAATCAGAACCTAATTAAGTTGTTGTTTACAGTGTAAGTGATCAATAGCTTTTATTCTGGATCACACAGCGTCAAAGCTCTAATAATTGGTATAAAATGTAATAGAGATACTGTAATCAAAACAAATGTATAAGATCTTCAAAAAGGAATGTGCTATACTAGGAGATTATTAAAATTCCTGATACTGCTTAAAATGTTTARTATGATGAATACAAATGATATTTTAAAGAAAGCTTTGTGGATCAAAGATGAATTTAATAATTGTAATGTTTATGAATTTGTTTTGAAAATATTTTTAGTTGGAAAATGTCAGACTTCTGAATTATTATGCTGTGTTCATTAGCATTTCAATAGGCTGTACTTTCAACTCCTTTTGGCATAAAAGAATTTGATTTATTTTTTAAATCATGAATCTCGCAATCTTTTCTGTTGTCACTAGCTTTCAGTAATTTGATTAGCTTCTACAAGAAGAGCAACAGGAACCACATGGGCTTTCTGGTAATGATATGCTACATATTTCTTCTCCAAAAGCAATTCTGATGCCTTTGAAAGCAATTTTCAGTTTCTCATCGGTACAGAATTAAAGATTAGTATTTTGTAATTTATTATGTTCAGTGGCAACCAGTATCTTAGAGTTCTCTCCAACACACAGTGCTTTGAAACCTATATTATTACATGACCATAATCAAGAGTACRAGTGAATTTTAGAATTTTGGAAAGTGTTTATTAGTTTGAAGAAAAAGCTGAAAAGATGAATTTGTCAATAGGCTTAATAATCGGTTAGTAAAATGTGTATTTTGCATACTCCCAAACTTCACTGCAGTTTATAAATCAATGATTTGTAGTATATAGTTGTAAATAACTGATCTGGACATTTCAAAGCAGACTTGTACAGAATTATGTAAGTCTTAACACAAATCTGTGAATTTAACATGATGAATTGTTTGCCTGGTAAAGTTATCTTCTACTTTCAGTACAAACAAAACCAGATTTCTGTTGATCATTTGGACATAACTGCTTGTAACAGTCACCAAGCCATCACAGTAAGGTACAAAGACAGCCCTTAGGAGAAATTCTGCCTATTTGATGACATTTAAAGCTTTAAAGAATCYCTTCTAGATACTGCAGAAAATCATGAGCCAGCATACACTGTCAATGTCACTGAATAAAAATCCAASTGATCAGACCATGTACAGTGGCACTATTGCCCGCCAAACTATTTAAACCATTTATTGGACTGGTCTTGTAAACAGTTCATCATGTCAACAACCCCATGGACTGCAGAAGGAATTACTATTGTGGGAAGAGCTTGATCTGCGGGAAAGCATGTATAAATCTGCCTTGTAACTAGATCATTAATCCTTTTGTGTTGATTTTAGCAGTTTAAGAAATAAAGTTCAACTTAAATGAAGTCCTGCCATCTCCTTTTCATTTTTCCTTTATTCCCTCTACAGTGATGTGATAGTAGAACTCAGGTATAAACTCCTGTAACTTTCTGAGCTGACATTATAATGTGTGCATAAGCAGATAACACTGGTTTAGTACAGCAAATAAAACTGCATGGCATTTTTATTAAACAAACAGTAAAATAACTGGACTATATTATCACAATGGAAGCACAGGAGACCAGTGACTGAACAGCTGAAACCCTGTAGCAAAATTCRTTTCTACTGCTTATCCTAAAATTTAAAGAAGCATTATGAAGCTTTCACAATGGCAGTTTCTTGTTAATTTAAAGACTCTTCACCCTTGTTAAGGCTARATGATTATAATTAAAAAATAGATGTACTGTTAGAAAGTTCTATGCCACACTATCTTTATGAAAATTTAACTGAAAGACGTACATTATACCTGTATGCGACTTATAATGGCTTCTCAGCAGGGAACGCAGAATCACTTACAGTACATAAAGTACATTTAGAGAGGAAAATGCTAATACACTGGAAGAGTTTAACATCAGTAGCAGTTTATCAAATGAAGAAGACGTTTCATCAAGTCCACTCTCTGGGAAAACATTCAATATTAGACAAAAGCCTGGCATCCTTGACAGTCTGAAGTTCAGTAATTTGAAAACCAAAGCCATTCAGTAAGATAAATAAGATCTTAAGAAAACTGCCATCCTCCTTCACAGGTAAGGGCCAGMATTAAAATAATTATTAAAATAATCCAACCAGGTTGCTTTACAGGCAAATTTACACACGGTCTCTTTAAAACACTGCATGCCCAAAAGCCTTTTTGGGGTTTGGAATGTAGCACTGCACCAAGGATTTCACAAAGCCTCTAAATATCACAAGAAGCTTTTTTAGAGAGGAAAAAAAAAAATCCAGCTGACTGCAACTGTTCTAGCAGGAGTGCCTCAGCTTAGCTCCCAGACCTGGAATTCCAGATAAACAACAGAGGACAGGAAACAGATTTTTTTTCTTTTTTTTTTTTTTTTTACATGTCCTTTTGTAATGCAGCTACAAGATGACTGATGAACTTAGGAACAAAGAGAGTGAGAGTGCAACTGTCATCCCAAAGAGCGCTCTGCTTAGATAGAAGCTTGTAGGAAGAGCAAACGAATTCTCTGACGATATGTGACTGGTGGAGACTCCTGCTGTGTTGTCTTTCCCAATAGCATTCTGTAAGACATAATACTTGCCTTGGTTACCGTTATCCATTTTCACTGCAAATTACTTAAATCTATGTCATGGAATTTTGTTTATAGTCTCACGATCCTTGCCAAAGATGCAAAAGGTATAAAACCCAATATCAAAATGACAGTAGTTTCTAAACTATCTTATTCTTGTAATGACAAAAAGCACCAGAAATGTTTAACATTAGAAAAGCAAGACTCAAACAGGGAAAAAATACATTAAAAAAGCCCAATCCTAATCTAAAATGAGTCCATGTGTAAAACCCACTCTGTGAAGTATTTTTTTTTAAGAAGAGAGCTGCATTTATCATGCCGGTTTAACTTTTTATCATCAAGTTTATCAAACATCAAACAAGCATCTGCTTTTTAAAGTAGTTTGGGATGTAAATAGATAAAAGCTAGACCATGGGATGAGAAAAGTTTGATGTTTCTAGCCTATAAAAATGTTTTTTAAATCCCCTTTTTTTCCCTTAATTGCTCAAATTTTATAGATCAAGTCTTCTTTGCTACTAATAGAGCAGTGGACATAAGCAAATATATATAGTCAGATTATAGTGGAATAACCAAGGGAGAGGTGTAACAGTAGTATTGTTCACTGCTTATCATCCCTAGCAAAGGAACTGGACTTCAGAGTGGAAGWGACCTCTGGCAGCCAGGTAGTACAACCTGCTCCAAGCAAAGCTGCTCAGCGCTCTYAGTTCAGGATCTGAAAATCTCCAAGAAGAAATCTCCAAGGAGAAATTTTACATTTTCTCTGGAGCCCTGTTTGGATGCTCAGCCACCCTCCTTAGCTTTTCTCTTGTTACAAATTTTGGCTGTTCCCTCTTGTCCTTCCTCAACGAACCTCCGTAAAAGAGTCTGGCTACATCTCCTCAATATTCCCCTTTACACAGCAGTGACATCTGCCTTAGCCAGCTCTGCTCCATGCTAACCAAACCGAGCTCCCTCAGCTGCTCCTTGTGTGCCAAGAAGCTGCTGCTGCTGCACAGAGGGTAGCAGCAGTGATGGTACCAACCTCACAGAAAGGGAACAAGTCTACCCCATGTTGGAGATGCAACTGGCCAAGACTTAATTTCACGGTTTTACATTRAGGGGAGATACCTCTGCTGTGAAGTGTATAGGATCCACACTCTTACCTCATTAAGACACAGTTCTGTATCTACAGATTCATTGGATTTCCGCTTCTTCTGTGCCTATGAACAAACGCAAAAGTTAGTCCCTGTGCACTGATTTACAAATAGCGCCACAAATGTTAGATAAATTCACAYGGGTTGTCATATTTGTTTGACTTTCACAGTATAGCACATTATTCACAAATAAACCCTCTTAATGTAATAGCACATTTTCCAATAACATCYACATTCTAATCTGAAATTCACAACGAAACCTTAAACAGTTAAGGATACGACGTACAAAATTACAGCTATGAGAGCCGGTAGCTGCATACAACATGCTATGATCTGCGGACTCTTAAAAATCRTGTTGACTTTTCATGAGAAGAAATGATATACGACAGTTAATAATTACTGTAATATTACTGAATATTAACAACATATTCTAGTCATACATTTTATGAAAATATACAACACGGCATGTTTTATTCATGATAATACTTGCAATTTATCCATGTGCTATTAAGACACATTCAAAAATAATTTTAACATATTGCAGGGTTGCCACAGAGCCTCTTCTGAAAAGTTACAAATAGAACATTGAATATGTTTTACCATATTGATGTGTTAGTCATATTAAGCAGTTTGTTTACATTATGTTCACAGATAATAATATATGGAATATTAATAAATGCAGGAATATATTAGATGATCAAAGCCTACAAAATAGAATTTGATGAATCTTCCGCCATATCCTGTGATAAACATCTATCTGTTGCTATCACTGTGTGCTCTCACACACATTGATTCAAATAAGCAATGGCTCTGATGCCAGCATCCTAGATAATGAAAGCAATAGCATACACAGCTAGACAGGAGCCTAGCATCATAAGGTATGTAATATTTCTATTGCTTATGTGAACATGACTGGAACTCTTCTATATATTTCTTATATAATAGCAATATCTATCCCCATGGTGCTGATGATATTTCCGATTAGTGTTGGTGAGGTTTATCTCAGTACTCTACTGAATCTCAGTATCATTTCTTTCTTTGCATATTCCAGAAATACAAAGTGTTCTTTCACAGCAGTTACTTACGCTAAAAGTACAATCAAGTACTATAAAAGAAGACTTGGATTTATACAACAAAACTACTGACAGCACTAGCATGTCTTATTTCCATATRGAAGTTTTGCTGGGCTTGCAATTTATTTCCTGCATAAAATGAATATCTGAATTATGTTGTGGTATATAGACCAATGTTCTCCATACAGATATTTTATATCTGAGATTCTGCATAAAAAATACACCTCAGCCTACTAATTATTCATTTTAAAATTCAAATAAAGAAATGGCAATTCTCATTATTAAACATACTTCCTGCCTCTCGTGATATTTTATTCTTTTTTTTATTTATAAATAGATGTATTAGGACTAAAAAACAGAAACAGCTGGAATTTCAGTGAGATACAGCCTAGCTATAGTAAGAATGCATTTAAATATATGCTAATTATAAAAATATATGATAAAATAATAGCTCAATTCATTAATAAAAACTCCATGCAATCTTTCTCTTACATACTTCCTCTCCAAATTAGTACCATCAAGTTAAACCTAAGAAACATAATTTTAGCTATCTACATGGAAAAAGAAATGCCTGGAAGTAAATTTGCTAAAACAAGAAGCAGTATACAGAGAYGCAATATAAGCTCCTTTTTTTTTCCTCCCCCTTAAACAAAAAGCTGTTTGTTCAGGTAAGGAATATGGCAAATAATGGCCACTCGGTAGATTTTGATTCCAATCAACTAGCTACAGAGGAGAAGGGTAAAGAAGGGGAATCCAAATAGGATGTAAGCCCTAATTTTCTCATGTCTTACATATCCACTGGAAGTGGAATGTGAGGCCTCAAAAGCAGCATGACCAGAAATTAGATGCTGAAGTACAAAGTGTAAGGCCCAGGAAAGTCTGTTGTTTTCTAATTTGTCATTCAACATTAAATTTTCAAGCCTATTCACGCTTCTGTCTATGGGAAACACTGATGTTGTGTTGGATAAGATTGTCTAAGACTCAGATCTTTGTGCTAGTAACTATAAGGCTACTACTGGTTCTTGCTGGTCTCAAACAAAGACCGAAGAAAAGAAAAAAATGTCATTTTGTCTCTACACAAAGTCTTTCTCTACTTCATTCAGCATGATAGGCCATGGACTTCAGCAACTTAAGTGCATCTTTTAGAAAACTCTTTTAACAACACCAATAAATAAATAACAAAAATTTCAATAATTTTGGTCAATATTACCTAGCTTTAATCTGGAAGGTACTATTTATTTGTATCTGTAAACTTAATGTAGTTGTTCTAATAGCAACACTTATTCATACATTTCCTCTATTATAGAAATCTCTTCTTTCTTAGGCTTGAATAGCAATTTTAATAATTACCAGGCAGGCTTTTCTCCCACAGAAAATATCTTTCTTCAAAAGTAGAGCAAAAATGCAGCCTCTTTTGGGGGGTGGAGAGAAGGAAAAGAGAAAGGGATTTTCAGAAAAAAAGAGAATTACTTTGAGGATGAGATGAGGCATTATATGCCAAGTTTCAAATTGGAAGAGTACATTTTTACCATTGAGTTATAAACCTGTAAAAACAGGCTATAATGGAAATGCTGGCATAGGCTGCACCACTACAATAGTGCTGTAAAGCATTAAATCACAAGTAATGGGGAGAAAAAAAAAACTTATGTGTAGAGGAGAGTGCTATAGGAAGCTTATGTCCTGTAATTACAACCTAAAGGGAAAATTCTTCCTGCCCCATTCCCAGGCTCAAAGGGCTCTACATGGAGCAGAACTGTTGTATTTGTGCTTCAGGGTGAGTGAAAGTCTTGTAAGAGATGGAAAATCAGGGCTTGGGGGAAGTGGGAGGAAGTGGTGGAAGAYTTAGATGGGGAGACATGCATTTGAATTTTGAAGGATATCCTGAGCCACCAGCTGCTTAGCATGCAGCATCCCCTATTATCTTAAAAAAATTAAATTGGCAAAAAGCTGTGAATCTTACATAGAGTTGCAGACAATTCTGACAGGGAGTATACACACTATCAGCAAAGAAGAAAACATAGGAAAAGTGAGATTCCAAGGATTCACCACCAAACATGTATCTTGGGTCTCCTACATATCTAAAGTACAGGCAAAGAGATATGCTTCAGATATGCTRGAAGTAACAATTTCCATAGCAGTAATGTAATAGCACACACAAATGGCTAATAAGTCTGTGTTCAAACTTTTCTATCTCAATATAAAGCTTTTATCTGCTGACATGAAAGTGTATGGGAATTTCCTTATTAAATACAAACATTGCTGGGCTGATTTAAAAAAAAATAATTAAAAAATAACAGTGAAAGAAAAGCAGCATAAAACAACGTGTTAAGCACACAAAAAGAGGCATGAGATCTTTTCTACTGGGGTAAAATAACATGTGCTAATGACATATACTCAGCTGTGACATGCTGGTGACTGTAAAATGAAGTTGTCAGATGGGTTGACACTCACCCTGGCTTTGCAGGGAACTGTAGTTCAGTACTGTGAGCTACTCTGATGAAGCTGCCCCCACACTGCCAACAATCTTGCACTCACTTAAGCTTTTGTGCCCTTAGACATGAACATCTGCTTTTATAGAGAGTCTCATCACTGTAGTAGCAAAAGCAACAGATGATATTTAGACACAAGCATATACGTGCACCTCATGATGAGCTTCAGTACATCATACATTAGTCACACAAGCCTTATTTTAGCCTTGGCAACCTTGAGCTTTTAATATCCACACTGAAAGTGTTTGACTTAGGCAAGGATTGGTGACAGGCCAACGTCCACAAAGAAAAAGCTCATGCCTAGTAAAGTTTTTCTCCTAGAAAGAAATCAGATCCAGCAGAGAGCCAGCTAAGAAGAAAGGGATACTGCTTGTAGAGATTCCCTCCCCAGTCTGCCTTTAGGATTTATCTAAGACWGACTTTGTGGACATCCCTGTTTTCCTCTAACCTCAATGTCTCTAAATGGGGTGCCTACCTAAGTCCTTGCTCAAACACACCCTAACCTTATCTTCTCCTTCCCTCCATCTAATGACCACTATAAAGTCCTCCCACACCTAGGAACATTCTGCTTCCCATCCTCCAAATTCTTTACCTCTATCCTTTGCAGACATTAGAGTCCTGGATTTATTCCTGGGAAAACTATCTTGCAATTATGAATCCARCTTCCACAAAATACAGCACTGCAGAATTAATAAATGCATTAAACATTGCAATAGTATCTCATGACGAGTCTGTATAGAAGGTGCATTATTTATGGCTTGTCATTCAGCAGTATTTTTTATGTATCCACTATAGCAGAGCTACGTTACTTGCAGCAGGTACAAAGCCTGCCCGGGGATTGCTCCAAACTGAGGTGAGCTTTAATTTGGAGGGAGGACATGGAAGGCTGAACATGTAAGGAGACCTGAAAGCCTTAAACCTGCATGTAARCAGACGCAGATTGAGCGCCTGTGCCCAAACTCTCACTGTTAGCTACATCTTTCGGCTCTTAGATACYCCAGTGAGAGGTAACAGAAATATGGTTACAATAAAAACGTGGAGTATGGACTCTTTTTCCAGATAATTTTAACAACCGTGCCTTTGTCCTCTCCTGAGATGCCTGGTTAGTTATGCTCACATTAGCAGGGTTTTCTGAAGAAGAGGGACAAATCCCCCGGAACACATCCTCCAGATGATCAAACTTCTGCAGTAGCTGTAAAAATGATGGCACGTGTTCTCCTTGTTCTTTTCTTCTGTTGATAAGAGAGATTTACTATGCAAGTAGCCTGTTTTTCCAACAATGGGATACACACAGTAAATGGAGAAATAGGCAGGCTTTAAAAACGCAATCAGTTTAACTCTTCTGCTCTCGCTAAGTGCTAGGTGCATCTATCACAACCGTCAATAGGATTTTCTTATTAGCACAGCAAAACCATGCCGTGCTGCACTGTAAATCACTTTTAACAGGGAAAACRATCAAAGTGCTTGTGAGAGGCACAGGACACTAAAATAAGGATCCAATTCA